ATTTTCACAGGGGAGCATTGCATTGAAAAATTCGGCGAGCAAACATTTTCCAGCAAAAATTGGCCCACAGGAGCCTTTTCGGATCTCTGTCCAAAAGGTATTTTGTCACGGAAACGGCTGGGCCAAAAACGGGCTCCGTTTCCTCGTTATCGGTTTTCGGCGTCAACCAAGATCTGTCGCTTGCACGCATCTCGACGCTTGACTTTACAATTGGGCCAAATCAGGTCAAAGAGGGTACTCGGGTCCGTAGGCGCGCCCAAATTCGTTGGCCTTCTTCAGCAGGGCTGCTTTGACGGCGCTAATCTTCTCATCCAGCTCGGTCAGACTGCAGGCCTGAGGGACCAAGGTCAAGAGCAAAGTCAGTCCACGCGGCAGTGAGCCGGAAAGAACCAGCGGCAAAAAAAAAAAAAAAGACAAACGAGATCAAAATCAAAATCGGCGGCTGGCTGTACCTGAGCGGGTGACGTCTTGGGTCTCTTGTGTGCGAGGTTCTACAACAAAGTACACAGCTTCATGATTAGCGCAGCTTTTCTTTGCGTGCCGTTCTTCGAAAAGTCACCTGCCGGGCGGGATGCTCTTAAAAAAACATTGTCGTCTTTCGGGGGCAAGTCTCCTCTTAAGCGGGTAAAAGGCACGCGTCGATGCCGCAGGGGTGTCAAACTCATGTTTGTCACGGGCCACTTTGGAGTTAGGTCTTTGCCTCGGAGGGCCATTACGAAGGTCAAACCGAATCAATGTTTCATCGTCACATCATATCAACCCCACTTGACTTGGGACGGGTCCTCGAGCTACCGGCCGATCGCAATCGACCTAATGGGCACCCAGTGCTCGAACTCTTTCAGCAATAACTTTTTATTGCCAACTTGTGACATTGTTGTGGGGGCAACTGCGTGTAGCTGCTTGAGCAACACCCCCCCCCCCAAAAAAAAGTGGTACTCTTGAGTAGAAAAGACCATGTTGGTTTATTCCGAAACACTCGACATGTGCGCTCGCACAAACATGCAGCGAGTCAAAAGTGGCTGAAGAGCGCAGCCTGCTGTGCTGATCTGAGCGACGGCGGCATCAAGAGCCGTACGGAAGAGACGCGACGCGGCTCATCTCGAGCACACTTTGAGAATGCCGTCGCTACACACGCACACGCAGGCGCGCCGCACACACGGCGGACCCGCATCTTCCGCCGAGCCGCGTCGCATTTCTGCTCATGTGCTTTGGATGACACGTGAAGTCCCGAAAATATTGGCTCGCCGAGTATCCCTCTGGGTTTTCTCTCACTTGAAAAATCCTTTCATCTATTTATTTCCATTATTACGACGAGGATGATGATCATCTTATTTTATGATTGATATTTATCTTTTTTTTTGTGATGCCATGTCCTTCACCCAGATTCGGGTGGGAGAGGGGTGGGGATTCTGTTCTGTTTTTCATGTGTGTGTTCTGGACTGTGCTGGATATCACCACATGCGAGATGTCGGGCTGGGCAATGATGCAAAAAGAAAGACATAAAATCAATATTGCCGATTATTTTGAATGACACTGAAATCACGAGGGATAAAAACGACGACATGTTGATTTTAAAAATTTGTATTACAGCCTCAACCCGCAAAACTCACCTCCTCAAAACTACCACATCCGACCGCGACGTCCGGCACAATCGTTTTGTTTTGTTTTTTTCTCCGATTACAATGTTCTCAAGATCGGGAGAAGCCAAACTCGAAATCGAAACTTGAATCTTTCCCAAGTTTGGCCGAGCATGTCCCCAGTCCTAAAACGGACGATTGGAAGTCTGCGCCGAGTCATGTGACCCAAATGCCACACTTCTATTATCGCCCTCAAAAAACGCACACACAATGGCCGGTGACATGTCACCTCTCCCTCTTCGCCATAAGCGCGGCCTGCCGGCCAATTTCTTTTGTTCACACACACTCTTGCCTCCGCCAGCTCCAAATTCTCTGCTGGAGGCTCCATTTTTACCACAGGCGGCTAACGGGTGACTTTGCTACTAACGGCGGATGCGGAACAAGCTAGCGGCTTCAATTAGCCGCTTTGACGATGCCGTTTGCTTCCGGCGAAATAAAGCGCGCGTGTCCTCACCGTTGACTGGAAGTACTCCGGCGAGAGTCCCTCCAACTGCAGGATGCGGTCCTCCAGTTTCTTTAGCCTCTGGTAGACGCTGATGGGAACCGGGCCCGCTGCCAGAAAAACATCCCAAAATGATTCATGAAGCGCTCAAATTCAATTCAACGAGGCAAAAAAAAAAAAAAAATGAAGATCATCTCGCATTTGCACTTTTTTGCTATTGGCGTCAGGGTTCACTGTACGCCATCCCAAAGAATTTCAGACAAAAGCTCAAGTGGAGGCGTTCCTTCCTGCTAACCTGTCGGGAGTCGGAGGTGAGTTTCGATGTTGTTGAGGCGCTCCTCAATGGCCGAGTTGCCGCAGTCTTGTGCGGCCGACGGGCCTAATCGCGCCTGATCTCCGGCTTCTCCTTGGGTTCCGGTTCGGGTCTGAGGCCCGTGTGTGTTCACCACTCGTATGACTGTGACCAAAAAAAAAAAAATAAATTATATGGAGTCTTCAACGAACGTCATCAGTATAGTGGCGTGTTTTATTTGTTGCGTGTTGTATTTATTCAATTCATTTTTTGCGGTTCAGCATTTCTATGTTTGTAAATCTGAACACATGGCACCAGTGATTGTGCGCAACTTTACGCCGCGCGGAAAATGGACCATGATTGAGATTTTCAGTTGCAGTCCCACCTTTCACGTGGCTTTTCAACCCGGGGTACGGCGTGAACACGGCGTCGGTTCTGGCGCAGCTGTCCTGTGCTGAAGAAGAAACAAATGCGGCAAATGAAAATGGCATGAATAAAAACACGGCACCGTCAGCGCCGCCGCATTTTTGGAGGCCGTTAGCTACTCCAGCTCAGTTCAGCCTGACCTCTCGCCCGCTGGAAATCAGCTCTCTCCCAAACATTGGCAATCTGTGCGCAGGCTCCCACTCCACACCACCACACATTCAATCCCCCCATCCCCTCCTTCCCATCGGCTGCCTCGCTCACCCTGATTGCAGTCGATCACGTTGCAGAACTCGCGCACGTTGTTTTCATTGATCTCCATCTGCTTGCGCTCCATAAATGCAGATATCCTGCGCTCGATCTGGAGGGACGACACGCGTAATGACAGGCGATGGATTGATCGGCCATCAAAGGGCACCCGCCGAGCATAACTGCGCCGCTGCCGTGATGAGAATGGAACAAGGGCGGGTGCGGGCGTGGGCGTGGGGGGCATTGCAATTTACATGATGTGGAATGACAATTGCAATTCCAGGTATAACACGTGTGGCGTGATGGAATATGAATACTGTTTGCTTGGCCAGCAAAATAAATGCACAACAGAATGGGGGCCTCTTGTCCTCCATCCACATCCAATCTGAGAGTAATGAGCATCCACTTCATAATCCATCAAGGACCAGGCCCCGCTCTCAAAGCCTTCCAAGCGACGCGGGCTCTCGCCGCCGACTACGTCACTAAAGGACCCACCCGCCCCGCCCCGCCTCTTCCCCTCCGAACCCGCCGTCCTGCTCCCCTCTCCCAATTCTGCAACGAGCGCTTTAATGAGGCGATGATTATTCATAACCGACCTCCGACTTGCCGGCGCGGATTTGCACCAAGACGTCATCGGCTGCGTACGACACGCTGGGAGGCGGAGGCGGCGGCGTAGCATGTCGGAGGGCAGACGAGGACGCGGCGTCACGCGGCGTTTCCTTCTCGGTCTCGGGTGACGCGCGACTTGGAGACTCCGCCAGCGTTTTGAGGCTCTCGCACATGGCCTGCAGCAAAATACAACATCCCTGTGATTAGACAACAACTCAACAGCTTTGGATTTCTCTGTCACTTCAAAATCAGTACATGCATGCCAAAAATCCCAATGGTTGGTGCAAGGGCGGATAAGATTTAACCAGCTTGTAGCATACCTGTAACTTAGTGATGTGCCGCTGTAGACAGTCATAAGCGTGAGCGGCGTCCGACGACTGAGGATTCACGGCATCCATGTTGATGTCCATTCTCAAAACGGCGTCACCTAATTTGAGCTGGGAAACAAAACTAATTAAAAACGAACTGCATCAAACAACTATTTCTAATATTCTTTGGGTGGCAAAAAGCTTTCTTTTTATTATTTTCTAAGAGGTTGAATTTGGATTTTTTTTTTCTAATAGTTGGTCAATTTCTCATGACATTTTAGTCTAATACTTTATTGTTATTAAAAAAAATAGAAAGAAAAGGCAAAGATGTACATAAAAACCTCTTGACAAATTCAATTTAATCGGGAAAGTTCGTTGCCCAGTGAAGAAGACATTTAAAAAATACGTTGGTTTGGTGCTTACCTATTACCAAAAAAAATACACATTCATAGGCATCAGATTATGGGCACTTGGTATCTTATTGCTTTATAGAGTTCAGTCCATGTACTTGTGTTAGTTTATGGTCATACAGTATCTGCCCCATCCAATATGGCTGAGAGGTTGACGAATCACAGGAAGGGGCCAATAGGCTCAGCGAGGCATCTACATATGTCTATGGCAACACAGACCCAGTTACCTCTGCCAGGACGTCGGCTAAACACGTTTACTCGGAATCGCTGTGAAACTCACGACAACTATTAGGGGGCAACCGTATGAAGTGATCATCTTTCTACTAGCTAAAGCTCTCTGTCATGTTCTGCTGCGACTGATGCCGAACAGAAGCTACAAGCGTTAGCATGTGAGCTAGCAAACAACATCAACTTGGCTGGTTTCCGCGCTTAAAACGCTACGGAAACAAACACCGGACCAACCTCTCCCACGAAGTCGGACAGGAGCCTGAGCAGGAGACTCATGCAGCCCGAGTAGCTGGACAATTTGGCACTGGAGGACTCCTTAGCAGGAGAAAAACTCTCCCCGGTCGGGTTCATTGTTTCCGCTATTGTGGCTCAAAACGTGGAGAGTAGAGACTTGCACGCTGATTGGTTGGAAGAGAGGAAATGATGGAGGAAACGTAGACGTCACTGTGTGTGCGGAGTCAAGAGAACGCACCCATTCACGCCTGGTCGGTAATGTACGGCCTAATTTGTTCCTACATTTTTTTAATCAGTAAATTTAGTTTTAAAGTGTTTTGATTTACCACTAGTCACAGTTTTATTTTCCAATTTTAGACCATTTCCGTCTGTACAATTCTCATTTGCCTTGAAATACGAAACGTTCATGAGGAAATGTGCGTCAGAATGTGGGCGGAACCAACGAGGATGCACTTTCGCAAGTGTTTACTGTACATCCTAATTTGCTCAGTTATTTTTTAATTTTTTTTGTATGTTTTTGTTGGGAAACACTTTCAAGGTGCTTGTAATTAATTTGCGTTTGTAATTATTCACAGACTGTTTCTAAATCATGTTTTGAATAACCCTCATTTCTCCCTTCACCAGAGAAAAACACATTTAATGCATACAGCATCTGTTAAATTCATTCGTGTAACCGCTGCTAAATGGTGGTGGTGGGGGGAATCACACTATGATGTGCTTCTGGCTTATAAAACCCGTTGAAAAATGACATGCTTCACAGTTAACATTGCACTTGATAACTCACAATAAAGCATAGTCATCCTCTAATGAGAACATTGTTGTTAAGTGCAGAGCAGCCTGTTCAGCAGGGGCATTGCTGGCCACAATGGTGATTTTTGTGTGTGTGCGCGCCTGCCCATGTTGAGTGACTGTGGGAAAATCTCCCTCCTCTATTCATTTTGCACATAATGGCGAGAGAGAGAGAGAGAGACGGATGAGGACAACAACGGGAAAATGACAGTTGCTGGCAAACGAGAAAGCGCCGTGCCACTCACGCGTCTCATATAAGCTCTCTCGATGGGTTAATCATTTTAGGAAAAGGGGGTCTGAAGACAAGTCCCTTGGTTTCATTTGTCTGGCTTCGACTCCCACCCAAAAAACGGGAGCGGACCTGTAACACTTGACACGGTTTGACAGACGGAGCCCATGCTCACGATGCTCCCACACTGCGAGAAGTTACGAAATAAGGCTCACTTAATTTGCCTCACTGATCTAAAGTGTTTCTGATGTCTGACTTCAACACACAAATTGAATTAAACAATAAATGAAAAGCATTTCCAAACGAATTATTGATGATTGGCATAGTAGTTTACATTACGACACAGAAATAAAAATGGCCGCAAAATATCAAAAATTTGTAATTGTTTTTTTAGGGTTTTTTTTTAATCACAATTACAAATAAAATAAAAATGGCTGCGTGATTAGGACGTGTGTTAAAAACACACATTTTTCTTATAGACGAAAAAAACCCAACTGTCTCCAAATTTTGTGATTTGAAGTCTTGTTTCGTCCCCAAAACAACAAAAATTTGTCTGTCTGGGCAAAAAAAAAAGAAAAAGAGATACCTGTTTTTTGGTCCTTGAACTGCAATTCTAGTCACCCCCCCCCGCACACCCCCAAAAAAGAAAGTACTTTATCTGAAGATTTTGTGATTTGCATACTAAAAAAATAACTAATAATGTTTGTGTTTTAGAAGAAAATATACAAATATTTCAATATATTTAGAAATACATCCTTTGTGCTGGACAGAAAAAGAAACAACTCTTCAACAAAAATCAACAATCTCCAAATTTTGATTTGATTTAAAGCATTGTTTTCATCTCCATTTTGTGTGTGTGCGCGCGTCTCTTTGGGGAAACCAATTTTTTGAAAATACCCGCTCAATCATCTGTTGCAAAAAGATGAATTACTGAATCTCAACACTTTTGTAATTTACATATATTTTTAAAAATAATAAAAATGTCCTGCGTTTCAGAAGAAAACAAATTGGGGATACAAGATTTTTCCTGGACAGAAAAAAAGATCATCTTGACCACAAAAATTACATATCTCCCCCCACCCAAAAAATGTATCCCGAAAATAACTATTTGTTAAATTGTAAAATTCTCCATTGTGAGACAAATAAAGGTTTTCTAATCTTATCCCCCCCCCAAAAAAAATCCCCAAATTTACTTTTTATTTATTTATTTTTGACTGCAGAACTGCAATGACTGTCCAAATATTGGCAATCTTTTTTATTTTAAATTCAGTACTTTGTGTTCTTTCTATGTTTGTGTGCGTGTTTTTGTCATTTTTGAAAATCATAAAATTTTGTGGTACGTGGACAGAGCTGATCACGGTGAGAAAACATTCGACAAGTATGAAGCAGTTCAAAGTGCCAGCGGAATTTTAGGCCGACTGTGAAATGTTTAGCGGGGTTAGCCCCCAAAGTGGGCAGATTGAGTTTGAAAGTGCTGAGCCCCAACCGAGCGATTAGGACTTTTCAGAAGGCTAATGAAGGTCCGTGCTTGGCTAATATTGTGCACGGAGACCTAAAGCCTGTGTTTGCTGTGCTGTGCTGCACCTGTCACCTGGGGTCCCGCTGCCTCTATTCAGCCTCATTTACATAACCTCGTTTAGCAGTTCACAAATCAGAGCCATTAGGCGCCGCTCACGGGAGCCGAGGCTTCTAATTTGCCGCCGCCTTTTCACAGTCAGCCGGGAAATTGTTGCGCTCGGGCGGCCCCCCCACCCCCCGCCAAAAAAGAAAGGTGCGCGTCCTGGCTTTGATTGTTGATTGTGATGGTAAATGTACAGATGATTAGGACGCCCCCCCCCACCCCACACCCCACAGCACACCTCCCCCATCACTATTGATTTCTTGCCAGAAACGCAGCAGGCGACCGATCCCGGGTGGTGCTGGGAGCCCACGAGAGGAGGAAGTCATGGCTCTGCAGGCCACATTTACTAAGGTGCCAAGTTGTCCCTCAGCTCCACGAACAGTCGACACCTTTTCAGACGGGCGCTTCACTTTATTTGCAGATTGCCGCCATCTTTTTTTTTTCCCCTTACTTTAATTCAGTTTGCTTTTAAAGTGGGTTTGTTAGTTTTCTTAGTTTTTATCTTTTCAAAAATGCTCTGGGTTCATTTCATTTTTATTAGTTTTAGAGTTAGTTTTTTTTATGTATAAAGTGTATTGAGTGACTCAGCAAAAAAACTTAAATTTTTTTTTACGATGGTTAGTTTTTATTTTGTGTTGACTTTTGTTTTCGAAATCGTTTTGCCTTGATTAGTTGCGAGAGTCGGTTTCATTTTTTCCCCCAAGTGCTTTGTTTTAGTTGCATTTTTGTTAGTTTTAGAAGTAGTTTAGTAGTTTTCATAGTTACTTTCGAAAAGTTACTTTCGCCTTAAAAAAAATAAGTCATATCAGCCAAACTCGAATTACAATTCACCCCAAACCGTAAATGTCGGTCCGTGCTCCCGCTTCAGCCTTTGCGGTTCCACTGTGTTCATTTTCAAACCTGCAGTTTCAATCCCCCTCAAATTCCTTCCAAATTTTGATCAAGTGTACGTTTATACACCTTTGTTGGCTGCCAAATACTTTCCTCACCCCCCCCATTGAAAAGCCCAGGGGGGGAAAGCCTTGCATGCAATAATTTGAAAGTTGCGCGGCTGCCGCTTCAATCGGCGCTCAAGCGTTTGGCGCAGCATTCCTCAAAGTGCACGCGTGCAATCACTCCAAGCTCCCAAACGGGGGAGCCTTTTATTGACGCGCCGTCGATTCAACAGGCTGTGAATAGGCCCAGTCAAGAGCCGAAAATATATTTTCAATCTGCATTCAATTTGGCAAAGATGACGGCAATGAGGAGTGCGAGTCACACTGCCGCAAACTTGCCTGCTTGCGCATAGGGGGGGTGGGAGGGTCGGGAGGGGAAGGGGCTGCTATCATTTGGAGGAGCCATCTTTAATTAATCAACAAATGGCTGCTGCCTCTTCCTCCTCGTCCCCCTTTCGCATGTGTTTGCACTTCACGCTCGGCATGAGGCGCATCCTAAAGATGGCACGAAACATTGCGTAACAGCAGACAACACAATGGCATGGGTCGAAATGAAAAAGGTCCAGCGGCAGACTGCCAAAGGTATCGCGCCGTGCATAAAAAAAAAAAAAAAAAAAAGTTACGAGGGTGAGATTCACTGTAGTGCGCCGCTCCAGATCTTTTTATTTTATTTTTTTTTTTTGAACCAATATATTTTATTTTTTCACTTCACTTGAGGATAATTTATTACAAGTGTGCAGAGCAGGTCGGCGTGGGGGTGGGGATTTAGCAGAGTGGTGCTTGAGAATGCTATAGCAACCAACAGGGGGACCTTTGGTAAAAGCAACTGTGCTGCTAGCGTTAGAAAAAAAAAAAAAAAAAAAAAAGCTAAAGGACATCATCCATGCGGAGCATGGTGGCGTAAAACAGCTTTACAACAGCACAGTTTCGCACCTTTGCCACGCAGATGCAATGAATTCACACAAAAGTCTTCTTTCTTTCATTTCACAATAAAATATTCTCATCTCAAAAGTTTACACACCCCTGCCCAGTTGCTGTTTTATTTGTGATGTTAAAAAAAAAAAAAAAAAAAGATACCTGTAAATCATTTCGAAAACATTTTTTTTCCATTATTAGTTTGACCTACCTGTACTAAAAAAAAACAAAAACCATCTTTTTGAGAGGGGCAGTAAAAATAAACCGAAATCATGTCGTTGTTGTGTTCTTTTTCGGGGGCCCTGTAATGATCATGTTGAGGCTTTTAAAAATTTACTCTGCTCTTTCGCTGTGTGTTGTTTGTGTTTGCTGAAAAAAAAAAAAATCACGTATCTCCATATTTTATTGATCTTATTTCTTTTGGCAGCTGTAGTTTTCTTTCCACAATGGTGGTTTTCCCCAAATTTCTCATCAAATTGCAAATTCAAGGGCGTTCAATCTGCGTCTTGGTTGTATTTTGGGAGAACGGGAGAAATGGACGAGACATTCCAGTTCGCGCTGTCACCACCCATAAATATTTCTTGTTCTTTTCCCCTATCTCAAGTTCAGGTGTCAAACTCAAGGCCCCGGGGGCCAGATCTGGCCCGACACATCATTGGATGAGGGTCACGAACATTAAATGGAACATGTCAACTTCGCCAAAATTTGTCTCAACGTTTCCAATTGTCACATGGGATGAATAATAACGGAAAATATTGGAAGAATTTCCACGTTGAAAACCACATACGTCCACATTTCCCATTCACATTTGAAATCTCGGGGCGGCCTTACGGCTCCCCTCTAATCCAGCAATCTTCCCTCCTGACAGGACAGGTCTTCTTAGTGTTGTCTTGACAAATTACTTTTAATGAACACGTAATTAATGGAAATAGACTGTCAAAGCAAACAAGCATTCTAATTGATTTGTGGGAGGGGTGGGGGCGCAGAAAGCGACCCCAGCCTACCCCCGACCCGCCTCTCTCTTTGTCCGGGGAGGGGATGGGGGGTGGGGGGCCTCTATTGATTAGAGTCTGTGTGGATCGCCGCGCATGAGTTTGGCTTCATTAAGAGATAACGGCTTCCTGATTACTTCCATCCCCGGCTTTAATGTCGCTTAATGTCTACTTTGTTCCCGTGTCATGTCGGAGGCCAGCGGGAATAATGAGAGCGTGTGGGTGGGCCGGGTGGGTGGTGGGAGGGGCGGGTCGGTGGTGGCAATGGTTCTGCGAAGGGGGATCAGTGGAAGGGGTTAGAAAAGCAAAAGCTTCAAGACACAGCTTGTGGTCTGCCAAACTATTGGCCACAATTTCGCTGCCGGTCAGCCCTGAGATGCTTGCATATGAACTCCATTTTGGTCTTAATATTTATTGATTTATTTTTAGCCACGTAACATTGGTCAAAGTTTCTCCATATTGTGCAGGTTGGCGACAAAAAAGAGATTTATTTCGTTTTTAAATCTGGAAGAAATAGCAACTTTTTTCATTTTGTATCATCAGAGGAAAACAAAAATAAAAATCCCCCAAAATTTCCACTTGGTTGCAGAGCACCGACGAAAACCTCGTAGCTACACATTTATTTTGAGTTTTTGTCACAGAAAAAGCAATCCAACTAAAATGTAGACGGTACTTGTGTTTTTGACCCCCCAAAAAATGAAGATAGTGACGAAAGGTGGCCATATATGCTTTTCTTTGGACGACAGCTAACAGGCAAGTAGTAATTTTGAATTTAACCTGAATTTTTGGGAAAACCGCTGCAACCCCCCCCCCCACAAAAAATAAAAGTTTTCCTTTAAAAAAAAAAAAAATCACATCAAATTCTAAATCCAAGGGCGCTCAAATTTCGAGATTCCACTGTAACCCTTTTCCGTCTGTCGAAACGCATGCATCTACCAAATTTAGATTTGCCCCTCCCCCCCCCCAACAAAAACGATTCTCATCAGATTACAAATTCAAGAGCCCTCAATTTTTGACATGACCACTGAAACCTTTTATGTCCATTGAAAAGCATTTCTCGCCATATTTTGTGATTGTGGTTTGACGTTTGGAGAACAGACGCCAAATTCCGTTCCGAGCTTTCATCCAGTGGCTGAAACCGGTGCCGGTCCGATCCCTCTTTTGGCAGTTCAAAGTGAACTGCGCTTCCGCCTTTGAAACGCAAAGTTCCTCTTTGTCACGGGAAGCGTCCCCCCCCCCCTCCACTGCCCCCCGCTTGTGGTCGACTTCCGTTCACCGAGCCTGTAAATTGACCGCATTAAGAAAAGCGGCGTCTCCTACTGAGCAATTGAAAACTACACGGTGACAATTGAGCCCAAAAAGGCAGACGGCGGAGGCGTCGCGCGGCAGAATTGCATGTTAGCTAATTGTTAATTGAAGCGGCTGCCAGAGGCTAATTGCGCCGGCTCAGCCATTTGCATGATGGACCAGCCACCTGCCTGCAGCCTCTGCCAGGGCAAACTATATAATTAGTCAACCTTTTTTTTTTTTTTTTGACTGTCGCCCCCTTTGTGTCACATGAATTCCTCCTAATGACATATTTTATTAAGAAAGAGGGGAGGAGGAGAAGTGTGGGGGGGGGGGCGAATATCAGCGCCCCCCCCCTCCTCCCCCGACTAATCCGCTGCAAGCTGGAGGAGAAAATATGTTCAGTCTCAACAGGTTCTAATGTGGCAGACCCTATTTACCTCGAACCTTGGGGGGTGGTCCTGGCTGGGGGGTTAAATGGACGTTTGTGCCTTTTCTCAACTCGGGGATCGTGACGGCGGGCCAGCGGGGGGGGGGGATCTTGATTGCGTATTGTCTCGCGACATTCAAGGCCGGCAACGTATCATTGGCTTGGTGAGCAACATGCGGCCCGCGGGCCACTTTCCGGCCCCCCCCGACGGCACGATGATATTGAAGATAATTCAATTGGAATCTTTTGTCGGTTTAATACGTGGAGCCGGAGCGAATATTTTCATCAGATAAAGTTCAGAATGGACTTTTTCCATGACATCTCAGCCGCGGCTGGCATTCTGGTCGGCCGTCGGCAACTCGCCACATTTTCCTTCGCTTTTACCGCCGCGGATTGATGAGGTAATTCACTCTGGTTTGTGAGGAGCCAGCGCGCGGCTCTTCAACGTTGACCCCTTCGCTGATGCCCCGGCAAGGCCATTGACGGGCTCATTCAATCTGCAGTTATCTCGGCGGGACGCTGACAGAGAAAGTGTGGCCTTAACCCGGTTAGTCATGCCTCGTTGGCCCCCAATGGACCCCCCGACTGCGACTGTACACAGAGCTGGGGTGGGCTGGGGTGGGCTGGGGTGGGGGTTGCCGGCGAATGCTTGCTTGCGTGCCGTTCACTGGCGCGTTTCAGCGGAACGCACACTTGTGGCATCCGGTTGGGAAACCGGCCTCGTTCCAATCCTGTTTTTGTCAACATGTCGACTCAAAGTAATTCGGGTTTCAAGGAAAAGGTTGGGACTCGTGCGGGTTTCAAGTCAGGGTTACGTTTGGAAAGGAGGGTGAGGCTTTCAAATGAGGGGCGGGGTTTGTGTGTGTTTGTGCGTGCCGGCC